CCCAGCATTCACTCCTGCCTGTGGCAGGGGGTCAGGCTAGGTGATCTGTTCAGGTCCCTCCTGACCGTAGCTACTATGAAACTATGAAACTAAAGTTTGTGAAGTGCTCACAACGGCAGTCGGGGGGGCGCATATTATAAATACCTCTGCCTGACCTTTGTCCCATCTGCCTGATATGGCTTTTAGATTGCAAGCACTTTCCTGTGGAAAACTGTCATTTGCTCTGTTTGGACAGCGTCTAGAACAGGAGTTCTCAACCAGAGTGCCACAAACACGATTCACAAGATAAACCCAGAAATTCTAAATAAGAAAGCCATCGTTGGGGTCTCTGAGTTGTTTGCAACAAGAAAACTGCTCTCTTATTTTTCTTTAGCCTAAAAACAGAGTGAAAACTAAGAGCTGGCATTATCTAAGGGGTGCCTCAAGTCAATCCAAGGGTGTCTTGAGTCTAAAAAGGCTGAGAACCACTGGCCTAGGGTAAGTCTATAGGGGTTCGATCTTCAGGCAAACCTGCAACCTAAATATTAAATAATACTACTACTAAGGCCTGGGGTGGCCAAGTGGCCCCACCTAGGGCCAAGTGCAGGGGGTGACATTCATGATGCAGTGCCTGAGCCACCCAAACACCCAGGTGCAGCATCTCTAGTACAGGGACCCTTCAGAGTGGGGACTCACGGAGCTGGGATGACACTGCCCCCACCAGTGCAACCTGTAGGCAGTGGGGGAAATGTCACCAAGGGAAGAGCTTACCTTTGGTTTCTGGGCCAGTGACCTCTGGGTTCAGGCACTTGGGCAAATCCTCCAACAACAGCCTAGAGACCTCAGTGAGGATTTTAGAGATGGGATCCACTTTGCTGGCAGCATTAAACTCGATGGCTGGCAAAGCTTCCAGGGTCTCAGAAGGGAGCTGCAAGAAGTCCTAGATGGGGCGGGAAGGGCAGAGGAAGGGCAGAGGGCACAGGTATGTAAGGCTCCATGGCAGTCGCTCCCCGGGTGGGGGTCCAGAAATCCCTCTTCCTCTGGGTTGAAGGAGGCAGGACCTCCCTCCCCTCCCCTTGCTGTGGCTGGTTGTCAATACCTCCAGGAATATCCTGCCATCTGTGCAGGCCAGCAGGGCCCGGGCCTTCTCCTGGTGCTGGCTGAGGGTGGCCTGCTGGTGTTCCAGCTGGGCCCAGTTCTCCGCTATTTGCCCCAGGGCAGTGGCTTGCTCCTGTTCGATCCTCTCCACTGCCTGCCTCCGCTGCTTCTCCAGGGCTTCAATTATCAGGGCAAACTTGTTCAAAACCCCCGATTTCAGCTTTTCTGAAGATTCCTGGGCAGAAAAAGTCAATTGAAACAACAGGACAAAGAATCCACAGGCCCCGTAGCAGCAATCCCACGAGCCCAGCAGCTGCATTTTCCTGGATACCTTAATGTCTTCTGTTGTTTCCTCCAGTTTATGCTTCTCCTCCTCGATCTTTGCTGCCTCCTGTTGTGTCTTCTCCAAGAACTCTTCTAAAAGGGCCTGAAAATGGAGTAAAGCCCAAGCTGTAACATAGCGGAGCATAGTTTTCAGCACTTGTGTAACACTTATTTCACATGAACCTCCTTCTGGCTGCTCAAGCCCCTCTCCACAGTGATGGCTCCCACAGTTTTCCACATCCCACCCCTTGTGCAAGGACTCTCCCTCTTTTCCCCTCATCACCAATACTAAACATTTAACACTTACATGGCGCTTGGCATCTGCGCATTTTGAGGCAGGTCAGAGAGGATTGTCAGCATCCCCTCCTTGTTTGGCAGTAGTGCTCAACTGAAGCCATGAGAGCAGACGTGGTTACGTGATAGGTCCTTCTGAGCCCTGGCCATTGCACAGCGCTGGCTCCCCTTCAAACTTACTACTGCCCCTCTGTGAATCCAAATACAAGGGGGTCCTCTTTTCCCCACGCATGCTCTGGTCACTGCTCAGCTGATGCTGCTCAAAGGCCGCAGTGCTGGGCTGCTACGAGGCAGACCTGCACGTGGTCCTTCTACCTGTCCATGGAAAGGGAGGTCACTCCCTCTTGACCTTCCATGCAGCAGGTGTATCTGCCCAGCAGCTGACTTTGCTGAGCTAAGAAAAACACGGTAGTGCCCGATACTCCACTCCAAGGCATCGCTCTCAGAATCTGTATAGATGCAATGAGACCCACTAGCAGCTTCCCACCTAACACCTGCCATCTCAACCTCGAGATTCTCTGCAGGACTTAACTCCCAGAAAGAAACAGGAGGGGTAACCGGTTTGGCAATGGGGATACACAGGGCTTCTCGCATGGAGTGAGTGGGAGATGGGGGAGTGCAGGATGCTGGTATAGGGGAAGGAGGACAGGGGGCCAGGAGTCTGTGGCATGGCTAGGAAGGTTAAGGGCCCTGAGATTGGCACGGGTGGGAGGGTGGCACATTGGGACCTGTGGAGAAGACAGGCATGCAGGGCCCCTGCTGCGTGGAGAAGAGACAGGCATTCCAGTGTGTGCAAGACCGTAAGTAAACAGTATTAATTTTAAATCCCTGACCAGGACACTGCGACATTCAAATGCAGGAGCCCTGGAAAGTTCAGTCCAGATCATCAAGAAGAAGCCTGGCACTAGTAACTACTGCCCAAAAACAGCCGCTTGAGCTGAGCCTCTGGGTAGTGAGACAGTGGAAGGTCTCAAGGTGCTTTAGTGTAGATGGGCTGGGACGCTCTCCTTTCTGGACTAAGGAACTGGCACACATGCAATGCAGGCCCCACGCAGCAAGCCAGGGTCTGATGGAGAACCCTGGTGTCCCAGCCCAGGCTCTAGCCACAGCAGTGCCTGCACCCCGACCTCGACAGCACCCCTCTATCAGGCTGACACAGAGCTCGCCTCTCTCTCCAAGGCCTGACGGATGTGGGGCAGGTCCCAGAGGAGACCGAGCCAGGACCCACCTGCTTCTTCTTGCGCTCCTCCTCAAAGAGGACCCTGTGGTGGTCCCGGCACTCCTTCACGGTGCACACACAGCAGATGCACACCTTCTCCTCCTGGCAATACAGCTCCAGGGGCCGCCCATGCCGCGGGCACTTCCCCCTGTCAGCCGGGGCTTTCATGTCAGTGCTGGAGGCCTGCACCTCACCCGCCTTGACCAGCTCCACCACGCTGCAGAGGGACACGTTCTTCTTGAGCTCCAGCCGTGTCTTGAAGCCCTTCCTGCAGTCGGGGCAGGTAAACCTCTCCTCTCCCTGGGGATCCTCCTTTTCCTGCTTGTCCCAGTGGTTGCTGATGCACTTCTGGCAGAAATTGTGCCCGCACGGGATGGTCACAGCTTCCCTGAACAGCTCCAGGCAGATGGAACACACCAGCTTCTCCTCCAGCTTCTGGGACCCCAGGGAAGCCATCCTGCCCCAAGCCGGAGCAGCAGCCACCTAGGCAGAGTAAGGAACCTACAGGATGAGAAGAGGAAACGAGACTGCTGCTGTGTCAGGCAGAGGGGAGGGGTAGGCACGGAGCCAACCCAGCTCTTAAAGACACACAGGCCTGGGCACCGCTCTCCGCTTCCCAGCTTTGGCAGGTGGCTTGGGAGTTTTCCTCTGTCCTCAAGCCCATAGTTCCCATGTCCCAGGGCTACCCATAGCAAGGGGGCTTCTACACAGAGAAGGCTGCCCAGGTGGCTGTACCTGCTGCTTTCTGGCTGCTGAGCAATTGGTTCAGTCTGGTAGCTGCTTTCTAGACCTTTGAAATGTTGTATTACCCTTTTGTGAGGCCTCTGTTTTGGGGTCGTTTTGAGTCTTTTGTTATTTTCTGGTTTTTTAATAAAATTTTTTATAAAAAAAAAAAAAAATGCTTTCTAGACTTTGGTGGGTGTCTCTGCTTAGCCCCGAGGGCCAGGAGACAAGGCTGCCTCTTGCAAACCCAGCAGAGCCCTGCAGCCCCTCGCCACCCATTGCTATGCCCTCCAAGCCCTTCTGGAGGGGGCCCCCAGCTGCCAGGTCCACAGCCGCCCGTCACCCACAGCAATGCCCAAGCCCTGGCTGTCGCCCACGGGAGGCGGTCGGTGCTGCGGTGGTGCGGAGCACGAAGCCTGGTTCCCCCTCCTCCATGGGTGGCATGGCCAAAGCAGAACCCATGGGGGAGGGGACTGCCCGGGGTGGGCTGGGGATCCCCACCCTGCTGCCTTCCCCTCGGGCCTCTGCGGCCCAGCCGGTGGGACACCAGACCCCAGGACCTGGGGGCAGGGCACAGCGGGGCTGGGAAGCTCCTTGCCACTGGGAGCCCTGCACTGTCCTGGTGAGGTGCCCTCTGCGCACCCAGCAGCAGCAGGGGCAGCAGAGTGAAGCTGTGCCCCTCACTGCTGCCCGGTGGGCAGGGGCATCTTGCCATGGCAGTGTGCAGCTGCCAGCAGTTGCAAGGAGCTTCCCTGCCTGGCCCCGCTCTGCCCTCCTGCGCTGGGTCCCACCTGCTGCGCTGCAGAGGCTCTGGGGAGAGGGCAGCAGGATAGGAAGCCTGAGCCTGCAGCCCACATCTGCCCCTGCCCCGCGTCCTAATCTGGGGGGCACGTGGTCCCACTGCCCCCTCCAGGAGTGCATGCAGCGACAGGGAGCCAGCCTCCACCCCGATGAGCCGCCCGTGGCCCCGTCCCGCTCCCTGCCAGGGCTCTGCCTCAGTCTCCCCTCCTCCCCCCGCCAGACTTACCTGCAAGAGCCGCTCTCCAGCCTACCTGACAGCCATGTGTGTGTGTGTGAGTGTGCACATGCACGTGGCTACCCCCCCGCCTGACCACCCTCCTCCCGCTCCCCCCGGCCCCTTGCAGGCTGGAAATCTGCCAGCCTGCCGACAGCTCTTTGCAAACATGGAAAATCCATGGGTTTCTCCGTTAAAATGAAAAATCCACGTTTTTCTCAAATAAAAGGGAAAAGCTTCAGTTTTTTTCCGTTTTTCCATGGGAAACAGAAAACCCAGATCCCTGCTAATCGGAGAAGCCACACTCTCTCTGAGATCCTTTGCAGGCTTTCAATGCTGTACACCTGCCAGCTGCTGGTCTGGGGACCAAAAGATTTGGTCTGAACCACAGAAGTACTAGTTGCAGGCCAGCTTAATCACAGCACCCACAGGGTGCCTCCTTCTACAGCGATGCATTGCCCCCAAGCCCTGCAGTAGCCTGAGCTGCAATGCAACATCCTAACACGATGGTGCATTTTCCCACCATGCTGCATCCAGCTGGGAAAGCAGAATGTCACCACCCGACTGTGTGTCACACATGCAAAATACCTGCCGTGTATCAGGGGAGTGCCCGGGCCTGTTCTTCGGGAGGTCCAAAGATGGCAGTGCCCATGGCTATCCCCTCTAGGCTGCAATGAATGACTGCGGTGCCCCAACGCAGTGGCAAGCAGTTCACAGTGTGTGGTGACAAACTAGCTGCTCCTTGCTAATGGAAGCGTCATAGGGAGGGTGGGGAGTGAAAAACAATGGGCCAGGGGGGAGACAGGATGCAGGGGGATACTATGATGATGGTTTTGGCCTAAGAGGTTTTACAGACATGGCAGGGAAGATACCTTTCTCCTTGACCTTGAATGACTTGGTGTAACTAGAACAGGGGCGGGCAATTCTTTTGGCTGGAGGACCACTTAATGAGTTCTGGTGAGCTGTGGACGGCTGTAAAAGTAGCTCTGCCCCTTGATGGGTGCCCCGCCCCCTGTCCACCACCTTGGGGCCAGAAGTCCCACCCCCTAACCCCTGACTTTTGCCATAAAAGTCCCTCCCCTTGTCCCCAAAAGTACTCCTGTGGGGGTGGGGGGGAGGTACTGCCACCTTGAAGCCATAAAAAAAACCAAATCATATACTAAAAAAAAATCAAACATTGACTATAACTGATTTTAATTTGATTAAAAAATATATTTTTGTCCTGATTTGTGTGTGTTTGCATAGTGTATCTAGAGCCATTGCATAATAGTTCAAGCGACACTCTTACTCTTGTATATGGCTTGAGGGGTGTGGTTGGGGAGTGGGTGTGTGTGTGGTGGGGTGCAGTGCGAATATGGTGGGTGACGTGGGGTATGTGATTGGCGTGGGGGCTGTGGGAGGAAGTGCGTGGGCTTATGGTGGGGGGTATGGGAGTGTGCGTGGGGATGTTTGAGGGTATGGGGTGGGGTCCTCGGAGTCCCGGGAATGTGCCAGTCCCTGGATCTGCATGTGGCGGCAGCGTGAGGTGCCAGCCCCATAACACACAGCTCTCACCCCAGTCCCCGGCTGCATGTGGAGGCAGTGTGGAGCCAACCCCACATGGCCCAGTAGTGCACAATGAGTACACGGGGTCTCCAGCCAGGCAGAAACTTTTCGCCTCCAGCAGCCCCTAGCTCTGGGGGGAGGTGGTTGCTTAGCACTCAGAGCAGCACCTCCTGCATGGAGCCTCCCGCTTGCAGAGGGGCAGTGAGGGCCAGGGCTTACAGATCCAACCCATGGGCCATGTTTTGCCTGCCCCTGAGATAGAAGGTGAAGGCCTGTTGCTTGCACTGTGGGCAAGCTGAGTCCTGTGAGAGTCTATGCCTCCAATGTGAGGATCTCAGCTACACAATTTATGGTGCTGGGGGATTGTGTTCTTGGGATTTCTCTCTTGCTTGCTCCTTCAGTCTTTTGGCTAGGGGCAAACAAGATTAGGGGGCATCTGAACTCCAAGGCCTCCATGCGTGGGACTTGCAAGTAGGATGCGTGCTATGGATTTGGGAGCATCTGAAGCCCCATGCTGAAGAGTCTGGGAAGTAGGATACTTACCGGCAATAGCACCACACAGGCTTGAACAATTCTCAGTTGACAGAAATCAGAACTGATTTGGCCTATTTAGCCCAAGACATGAAATTAAAAAAAAAAAGTTGCAGCAGCATGCCGACACAGGGTTGGGAGCAAATGCTCCATGTTTTAGGCAGCAGGGAGAAGCCTGAAGATGACAGCAGGAAATTCAAACCTCTTGTCTGGAGGGAACACACCACCAACTTTATCTGCTTCTTTCCCTCTCTTGGCCCCACTACTGAAATAAAGGCAGGGTCATTCCCACCTATGCTGGAACCCAATGATAGTTCTGTTTTCTAACCAATTTTCCAACCATATTCAGGGAACATGGGGTTGGACTGGGAAGCAAAAGTAGCACAGAGGCAGTTGTTATAGAGTAATGCCAGGAATGCTTTTCCTGCCACGGTGCATGCTGATACCAAAATCAGACCCATGAATCTAAGCCGCAAGCTTTCTGAGCAGTAACACTCTCTCAGCTTAGGGGATTTCATATTATGTAAAATAGGCTGAGTGCTCCGTAAATAAGAGAGAAGTGGGAAGAAACATGCCCTTCCACCTGGCAGAGTTTAATACATGTGATGACTGTAAAACTCAAGCTGAGCTGGGCCTACTCACAAAAGTTAAAATACATCCTCTTGCACTATACAATTGTCATCATTTTGAAAGTTTGTGGCTAGACCTTCTGAAAAGAAATAAGGAGGCATCACTTCCAGTTTACCTTACTATATTTATGAGTTTGAGCATGATCTTGTGTCTGGTATGTAACTGCATGAAATGTCTATCCTTAACTTATTAGTATAGTAAATATTTCTTTGCAATTAACTCATGTTTATATGCAGGAAAAGACACCCTCCATCTGGGCTTTGATAGGTGTCTCCTCCTGATTTACTCCTGTTGTGCCTCAGTGGTTCCCTTGATCTTCCAAGGACAACTCCTCAACAACTGTGTTTTTCTTGGGTTTTATCAATTTCTTGGTAAATTCCAACTCAGTAGAAATTAATAACAACCTCCTGTTACTGAGGGAGGTAATTCAATCAAAACTGGGACTTTCAGGTGATAACCAATAATGAACAGTTTGATTAACAGGATTTTCCTGTTAATTACTGCTTGGGATTCTCTCTCGAGTTACACAACTACAAGAGTACTTGGAAGATGCTGAGCTAAAGGGTGTAAAAGAGCAATAAAACAGCTACCAGGGTGCGCTTCAAGAATAAGTAATCATTCCAACATGAACTGCTGCTGCACCCAGTTGATCTTCTGGTGAAGGGATCCATGCCTTGAGAAGCTGACAAGACTGAGACCACCTCTTTGCCTGTATTGGTGAGATACTACTACTTTTACAACTAAATATATTGGATTTTGCTTCACTTTAGGCTCATTTAACAGCAAATAGTTGTAGTAAATAAAGCTGGTCATTCATCAAATGAGATGTCAGGTCAATCTTCTTTATACCAGTCCTGAATCCCATTTCATGACTTAACGCATAGAATCTAGTTGCATTTAGATTTGGGAACAAAATCCACACTATTCAACACCCTCAGTGAAAGGGGAAGGAGTCTTGGCTCCAGAGCTGTCTGAAGCCGTCCCAGAGCTGGGAACCCTGGTTTATATGTGGGATAAGACTAATTTCCTTCACACCCACCCTT